GATGAACAGGTGAGCGGACCTTCCTTACATGGGAAGTCCTGATGTCACGTTAAGAAGGGGGTGCTGCAGACCCGCAGATTCACGCCTGCTGCAGCGAATCTTGTGTGATCTCCAGCCTGATCACAACTTCCTCGTTCCTCGCTGCCCTTGATGCACTTGACCATCCGCCCCTTAGCTGATAACAGCTTCAACACACCTCGCTGCTTAATGATAGTAATGCATGCGATGATGTTTAGACAGTGACTCGTCTCAGAAACGTATAACTCCCCAACAGAATTGTTTAGAAAATCATCAGAAAAGCTTCAGAGTCTTTCTGTTTTAACTTAAACTTCTGTTTTCAACTTTAAGACACGTTGTCTCTGATTGTTTACAGAGTAGTGAGAACACGGAGCGTTCTCCCAGCGGCAGCCAGGTGCCTCTCGTTTGCCTGACTACTTTCATAAACTACTGTTAGGGCAAAGAATTATTCTGTCTGGTGCTTTCAGCGCTGCACAGATGTTACGTAAATGTTAAAAATATAGCTTACCGCAACTTTTGTAAAGTTTCCTGTATCACCGGGCGGGCAGCTGCAGCAGAGATGATCTCTGAAAAATGTCCACGACACGGACTCTGTTGTTGTCTGGAAGTTTGTTTTTTTCAAGTTAAGAAAAGAGGCGGACGGGTTTCCTAAATCCTGCATCAGTCCAAGCAAGGCAACTTCTTTCAGTTTTTATTCCGTTAGTAGCCATTAGCACTGTGCATTGTTGCGTGCGTCAGTGATATTCTGTCTACGAGGAAGTCGTGCAATGACAAAGGTTCCGCCGTGCTCGAAATGCAAGCTGCAATTAAATGCGTGAAATTTTTTAATTTTTTTCTAATTAATCATAATAACACGTTAAAGTCCCAGCCCTAAAAAACTCAAAATGATAGGGGGGCTTGTGATTATTTTAGGGGGGCTGAAGCCTAAAACGGACCTAACGACGTCAGCGCATTTTACTTTTCCAGATTTTTATACAATGTTCACAGATTTAAGTATTTTTGCTATTTAGCATTATTTTTCTCTATTCTTCACTTACTATTTGTGCTTTGTTAGCATGTGTAGTATATATGTTTCCTTGTGCAGGTTTTATAGCAGCGTCCTGCAGCAAAACACCCCTGGTTTTAGATTTTGCTGGTCGTATGACAGATTTATCTGCCTTTGGCTTCCAGTAAAAGAAGAAAAGGTTCCCTCTGTTCCAGTTTTCTTTATCATTGTATCTTGGCTAAGCTGCACTTTACTCAACCTTACAATTAACTGCATTTAAGTCATGTCTTAGCCATGATGTAGTAATGATTTAATTCATAGTTGTCCTAAAACAATGTAATTCTGGTTTGTGTACAAATACACACAAACCTGAGCAGACACACGCTGTCAAGGTGAAGGGAGATGATGAAAAGTGTAGGGATGGAGGCTAAAGCAGCTCAGCCCTCAAAGATTTACATCTGCTCTAGTCTGGCAACAATGTTTCACACACTTGCATGCATGCCTGCACCCACCAATGCACAATGGATGACTGTTAAACCTCGCTCATATGCATGAGCCCAGCATGAGGGAGAAATATTGACGAAGATGCCAATCCAGAGGACAAACAGTCATTGGAAGGGCAAGTGATGCATTTCTTGGCTGGGAAGAATATACATCTGGATGCTGGGAATATTGCTGCCTGCTATACTCTTCCGAGGAAAGATAAGTCCAAACCTGCCATTATTTTGAAGCTTGTAAACAGGAAATGTAAAATGGAACTGATGAGGCAAGGGAAGAAGTTGAAGGGTTCTGAGGTGTACTTGAATGAGCACCTTACGCAGAAAACAGCCAAAATCGCACATGAAGCCCACAACCTGAGGAAGAACAACAAGATAAAGATGACCTGGATGAGGAATTGCAAGGTTTACATCCAACTGAATGGGACTACACCCAAACAAGCTAAAGTAGTTATGGTAAGAGATCTTAAAGATCTTGAGCAATTTAAATGATGCTAAAAATTACAGAAAAATCTTGAGATTAATGACTGGGACTCCGTTGGTAATTTACAAACATTTGAACATTTGGACCCTTCTAAGTATGGTAAGGTGTATGGAAGGTGCTCAGAGAATATTTCTAACAAGGCCTTCGAGGGAGAAGTGGACCCAATTATCTATAATGGTAGGACATTACTTAAAGGAGCATGGGGCAGGATGAAGAAACGAAACTCATTAGCGACGCACTCTGCGCTGTGAGTAACTGCAGCCCGGCACGAGAGCGCGCACAAACTCTTCACAAGAAAAAAAAAAGTTACAGTGATGTACGGCCAGAGCGCGGCTCGAACAAGACACCGTGTCGAGCGATGAAGTAAGTAACATTGTTACTTTAGTCTAATATTTGTAAAGTTCCATGACAACATTAGCATTTTAATTTAGCCATGACACTCGTGATGTAAAGCAAGTGCTCCTTCCTATGAAATATTCATAAGCCAGTTTTGTGACTGGTTAGCAAGACAGTAACATGATGCTACTTTATCAGCATAAGGCTTTGTGGCTGCAGGTGATTTCTGATGTTTTTAGACCAATTACAGTTATTATTTTGCACTAAGCTTACTAACAAGCTAATGTTATTGTTTATACATCATGTAAGAACATCCAATTTCAAGTCACTGACATCATTTGTGAAACCAATTTCATTACAGGACAGGCATCACAACAATGTAAATAAGAAAATAAATATCAATGTTTAGTTCAAAAATGCATCAAAATAAAATCATAATATCAACAAGACCTACAGGGTAATAGTCATTTTTATCATTACTGTCACTGATTTTCAGGAATTCATATTGGAAGCAGTGATGGAAGACAGTTCAGATGGAGTGTGCCCGAGCCTGCCACAGATATTGATGTGTCGTGGGAAAGTTTGAGACCAGGGGCTAAAGGAAAGGGGAGAGGAAAAGGTCGCTCCGAGGGTCGGGGAAGGACACGCTCAAGGGGTGAGGGCAGCAGGTTGAGGTCCAGAGCTCCTTCAAGAGGACCAGGGCGCCGGGGTAGGCAGCGAACAGCTTTCAGAGAAGAGGACCGAGACCGGCTTGCACAGCTGAGAGCTGCCAGTATAGCTGAGATGCAGGTTGGTTGTAGCCATAGGCGTCATTTTAACCGGGGATGCCGGGGACATGTCCCCGGCAAAATTTGTGATAGGCAGCTGTGTCCCCCCCTCTTTCAAAAAAGCCTGCTGATGAGGATTTTTGTTTTACCAGCTCAGATCTTATCCAGGGGTCGGCAACCTGTTCCCATCAAACAGCCATTATTACCCGTTTCCCACAGTAATTCTGGACGGACCTTAATAAGCAGTGACTTAAGTGAAGCAGGCAGGTCGCGCTAGAAAATTTAGTTAAAAAAGACGTCATAAATGTTTTCCCCCGTCATTTTTATTTATAAAATATGAAGTAAAAACTCACAATTTAATTTTCATTCAGTTGTCATTAATATGTAGTCTACACCCGTGCGTTAACCATCTTCCAGTAAACGCACAGCATCCAGCCCACCTCTCCAAATGCGTAAAATGTGCATCAGCCGCTAGTTAGGCGCATCATCAGCTGATCAGCCCAGACAAGAGCAGAGCAAATAGAGACAGAATAGAGGATGATTCTGTCTGGATGTGGATGGAGATTACATTTTACAGCAGCCTGATCATTTAAATACGTAAACCATCACCTGTCTTCTAGTCCATGCTATCAGCATATATTTTAATTGGTGTGTGTGTGTGTGTGTGTGTGTGTGTGTGTGTGTGTGTGTGTGTGTGTGTGTGTGTGTGTGTTTTCCACTTCAAACACTGGTCTAACCAACCAGACCAGCGTGTCCAGTAACGTATTAATGTTACAATTAAACAGTTTCCCTTCATGTAGGCTAGGAACATTTCACCTGCCGTGGCCCGACCGCTTCTGCTCCACACGAACTTTGTGCGTGATCAAATGTCTCTACGCATCATGCGTCTCCATATTAGAGACGGGAACAAGCGCTGTTCAGCCAGTTTCATAATTTCATAAAAAGAACATTTTTCCAAGTGACACATCCCTCAGAGAGACCGGGTTTCCAGACCGCTTCAGTGGGAGGAAATCATTGCATGCACCATGGTTCTGCGCTGCGCTGGGAACCCCTCAGATCTTCAGCTCACTGTCCACCGGGGGCGCTCCGAGCCGCACTGAACACAGTGTCCAGTATAAAGCTCTAATGTTCTGATGGGAATCTTTTACCTCCGCGTGTGCGTTAACGATTAAAATGTCAGCTCATCCATGAGCATCCGTGTGCGTGGGGGTAATTCTTTCAAACCAAGCAACAACCTTGAGTTCATCTGTCAAAATAAACAGTCAAATGGAAATATATGTAACCTGCCGTTTAACTGTTTTGCCTTCTTGTGAAGATTGTTGCAAAGAGAAACAATTAAACTTGATTAACCCCAGAGCCACCCAGAGCGCATGTGGGAAGGTTCCTCCCACTGAAGCGAGTGTTTTCCAAACCCGGTCTCTCAGAGAGACTTGTCACTTAGAAAATGTTCCCTGATGATGAAACTTTTGCTGAATAGTGCTTGTTCCCGTCTCCAATGTGGCGACACATCCAGGAGCCGTCTGAGGAGAATCCCAGAATCTCACATCGTCTTCAGCTAATAAAGCGCCTATGATTACGCACAAGCGTGACGCGTCAACCCGGTCTCACAGTAAGACCGGGTTGGACCTGTTCAGGTTTACGCAGACAATCTTTACATTTAGAATTGGCATACAGATGTAAAATTAATGCAGTAAAATATAAAGCATTTTATTTAAATATCCATTCATTATTTTACAAACACAGAGCCGCATCAGATGGATGGAAGAGCCGCATGCGGCTCCAGAGCCGCCGACCCCTGTGCTAGCCTACTTTATTGTCCCCAGCAATTTTTAAACCCCACTCAAGTGTATGGTTATTGTCCCCAGCAATTCTGGAAACAAACTGATGCCCTTGGTTGTAGCCATTAGTGTAAAAAAATAAAATAAAATAATAGATGCCAAAAACGAAAACATCACTCACTGGAGATATGAATCTAGTCATGTAAACATATGCTCTTTAATTTCTAGACAGCTTTACAACACCTGAGCCAGGAGGAGAGAGATTATATTCTCGAGAGAGTGGTGACCCGTCTTCCAGGGGTGATGCTGGATATCCTGGAGTTTCGGCAAGAGACGCCAGGACACCATCTTCCTGACTGAGGGCACCCTAACCCAAAAATCCAAACCGTTTATCTACAACTACAGTAGTTCCAAAACAGCACAATACCTCAAAATAACTTTAGCTGAAGACAGCATTTTCACCCAAAAATAAACAAACAGTTTGTGCAATTTATTTATTTTTATTTATGTACAAAAAACAGTTCTGTTATTTGCATTTGTACATAGTATTTTTTCTTAATTTCTAATAAATCTGTGTGCATGAAAGAAGTCATTCCTGTCTTTTGATGCTTCACGTAGCTGGGGCCTTTATGGAGAGGAGAACAGCAGCATTAGATCATACATATGGGCCATTCCCATCTGTACCGGGTCGGCCCGGGCCGGGTAGCGTAGGTTGTTTACATATCTGGGTGGCCTGGTGGTTTTCCGGGCCAACCAAGGCTCATTCTCAGCCCTCTTCTCGAGGGGGTCTGCTTCAGGCCGACCAGGGCCAACACACCCACTGCTGACAGCAAATTCACACCTTCCATTAGAGCAAGCCTCTGATTGGTGGGTAGAATCAGCCCACATGGACTTAAGGCAAGGATGTGTGGAATCAACCGGGCCAGGCTGGGGCCGACTGGGGCTACCCGGCCCGGGCCGACCCGGTACAGATGGGAATGGCCCAATAGATTACATGAGAATGCAATTCTGGAAACTCTCGAGTTCTGAAGTTGACCTGTAAAAAAACAAAAGCTACAACTTTATAGATTATTAGGAATCACACTTTTGATTGCCTTTTCACCCACAATTGTCATTTCTATATGTAAATTTTCAGCTTTGATATTGACACTTTAGCTTTTTTGCTTATGAAAATGTTATTAATATACCTAAAGGTCAGATTAGTGGCATCCTTCAACCAGTGTCTGTTGAACATGATTCGTTGAAGAGCCTCGTGTGGTGGAGATCCTGGCACCATGCCACGTTGCATCAAGTGGTCCATGGTCACATTTGCCACGGGTCCATTCATGCTTCCCTGTGACATGGTGAAGCACACCCACCCACATGTCCTAACAGAAAAAATAAGTTTTATTTGAAAACTTTACATGTGACAGAAGCGCTCACAAACAGAAACACGAGAGCTGGCACTATTATGAAAAGAAAGGTAATTATGTCAATGTGCATTGTTGTCTTGTTGTCCAAAAGATGTCACAATACTTACATTAAACATATCACGATGTTGTGCTTTCTGACAAATGTACCAAAATTGGTTGAAGATGTCATTCAGCCACACAAGTAGGATGGAAATTCCCTTTAGGATCCCAGCCTGTGAACAAGGATAAAACAACAATTCCATCTTTTAGTTCTTTTTAAAACATAGAAGGGTTTTATTTACCTGCAACGTTTTGTTTGCGGCTGCAAACTTCGTCAGCCTGACAAAGTTTTCATAACAGTTCTATTCTGTTATGAAAACAATAAATAAAAGTAGAATTAATATATTGTTTTAAGACTTTGGAGTTTAAAAAAAGAGTGTAGATAAGAATAGGGCTGGGAAATATGGCCTCAAATCTATATTGCGATATAATCTGAAGCATGTGCAGTAACGATATATATTGCGATATATTTTTTCATCTGTTTATAGATGTCAAATTGACATGCTTTTAGATATCCTCATGTGGCAAATATATGCCACTTGAGGCATATAGGCCTCCTCCTCCGCCCACTCCATGCTTGCAGTCACCGCCATTCTGTTGTCCCATTGTCAGCAGGGTGCACATCTTAGTGACGTCATGTGTTATCACAATATCGCCGTATTGCGATATAGCCAAAAACTATCATTACCTGTTACAGACGTTGTCTGTTTTGTGGCCACAAGGTGGCCTCAGAGCTCCTACCTGTTCACCTGGAGAGCCAGGTGTCGCTAATCTTCTCAGTCAGGGAGCTTCCTATAAAAGGCAGCTCCCTCTGTCATTCGAGGAGGGAAGCTTAGCAGAGGCCTGTTGTTAAAGCGAGTGTTCCTCTTTTTCCCTCCTAGAAAACCAGACGTTAAAGTCTTCGTTTTGATTACCTGTGTGGTACACTTCCTAGTAGCCAGAGCTCGTTTTTGTCTCCATTAGAATACTCGTTAAAGAGTTCAGCTCACCCTTTTGGTGTAGCCTTTTGTGTTTGTCTCATTCCTTTACTTTCCCGGATTAGTACCGGCGTTTTGTGTTTATTAATAGTATTGTTATTTACCCTGTATTGGATGATCCTTCTGTTTAGTATTGTTAATTCCCCAGTGGGACGTCCTTTTGGTTTTGTATTCATTTTGTCTTAGCCTGCATAAAGCAGTGTTTTTTAGTTAATAAACTCCTCTAAGAGAGTAAATCTTGGTTTTGTCTGGTAATTCACATATCTTTCTTTACGCCCCCTTTAACATCATCTCCTAGACGAGCTGGGGGCCGTAAAATTACTCAATTTTATATAATTTCTACCTTATATCGTTTATATTGCCCACCCCTAGATAAGAAGACATTGCAACTCACACACTGTTGATTAAGTTGTTTGCTTGGTCCTCATCAATTTGGACTGCATCCGTAGCTAGATCCATGGATTTGAAACTACAGACAACACAATAATATTTGTTGTACGTAAAGATAAATACTGGAACTTACCTGAAATGGTACTGATTCTAAAGAGATAAATGTGGAGCCTAATACATCTGTCATTAATTATTTCTGCAAATAACAACAATCTGCTGTGAATTGACACTTCACAACATAAATAAATATATATAATGACCTATATTTGCTTATCTATTGTGTTTTTATCTTTTTTACACATATTACAGCAGTAATTTCCTGCATATATGGCAAGACTTCTCATGAACATATTTACCTTTCTTCAAAAGGATCCAAATCTAGGTCATCAGCTAAGGCCTCAACACCAGCCATTAGAAAATCTTCCCTGTAAAGATAATGTCAGAAGTGTTTGGTGGTGTGATGTTAGTTCTGAACCAAGTGTGGATATGCAAGGTGTAATTTAATGTATGAAATATCATAGCACAAAACGTGAATATTTGTTTTACAGAAAAGATACTAACCCCTCAGACACAGGTTCAGTTGGAGATAATCTATGCAACGTTTTAGCTGCTGTTCGCTTACTGGGTGTTGAGGTTGACTGCACATTGCATCCCTGAATTGCAGTTTCAGGAGCCTGCTTCTCCTGGTAGCTGGAAAACACATTTTTAAGCAAAAATGTCAACAAGTTGGTTGAGACTCTACACCTTCTGTTTACATAGATCAATAATGGCTAAGCTTCTTTACCTGTGGCACAACTAGTAATATGAAAATGCATGTCAGTCATAAAAAAATTTATTTATCATTTTCACAAACATATTTTATTCTGACCTACATTCAACTGGACAAATTTAGAAAAATAAATACAAACTTCTGCACAACTTTACTTTTAGTCAAACGTGTTGTTATGGCTGACTTATTATTTATTCCTATGTAGCACAGCAATAGCGCTAGGAAAATATATTCTGATGGGGTTCTGTTACACAAACCCCACGAATAACATTATCTACTGAAGTAACAGTCCTGCTTAGAGGTTGGACTGTAGATCAAATATGACATAATTCTAAAGACTCATCTTTGGTTTGGAAAATGTCCGTTCTCTTCTGTGGTACATACAAACTGAAACGTGATTGCAGCTAACATGCTAACGCACGCTAGCTCTCTCCGGCTGAGCGGTATAATCAAATCAAGCTCTGTTTACTTTTCTCGTCAGAATAAACGGAGCATCCATTTATCTCCAAACACATGCGGCGTGTCGTCCACAAAATGTAGAAGTGATCTGATTACACCTTAGTTGCTTTTAGCTTTTTTAAACTGATCAGGAAGCCATATGCTAAACACCGTTAGCTTAGATAAGTTTCTTGTTCATCTGCACAAAGATTTGTTAGATTACCTAAATCAGCATTATCTAAATCCATAAGTTTAATTTTATTTTCTCAAATTGTGCAGATACAGCTCTGATATGTTTACCTACTCGTTACTGAAACCTACAGCAGAAATAAGGAGACCAACACTTACCTGGTCACTAGAAAATGTGCCATGTCCGCATCCTTTTTCAGGCACCAAATCCAGTTGAAGCAGCCTCCATTTTTCCAGAGCGTAACCAATAGATATTCGGGTCCCTGACCGACTTTTATCTTATTTTCTTTTTGACTCTCGAGATGCCGCTGATAAAACCTTTTTCTTTGTGCCACTCTTTAGTGGGCTTTGAGTTGCGCTTGGTCGTTTGCTAGTTGTAGAATCCATTTCCAGGGTTCTTCCTCTTCTGTTTGAGGTTTTAACGTGGCTAGTAGTGAAAGACGCATTACCGCCACCTAGCAAGCTTCCAAATGTTTTTCCGGGTTTGAACCTTGTCGAGAACGAGCTTGAAGCGTCAAATAACGTCACATCCTTAAAACAGCGCGGGAAATTCGGATGCGACATGTTTTGCATTTTGAAGCACACAGCCTGTTTAACAAAATGGAATGATAAACTGGTTTCATCATTCTTTTTAGTTTAAAATGCTTCATCACCCATAAGCTTCACAAGAATGAACATTTACTTTTTGTTTTTGGACAATTCTGCCCCATGCTCCTTTAAATTAAACACTACTGCTCTGTAGGCAGAAATATCTGTTGTACTGTATACGGGGTGGATGAGGACGAACTACTTACCGATTCTGACTATTAGGTTTATGGCT